GGGGAAATGGAGAAAGTGGGGCTCCTTAGGGAAGGGGGAGGGCGGTAAATACAGGAAAAGGAGGGAAGTGGGTAAAACAACAATAAAGATGCCTGGAAAAGCAACAGGAATTATATTATTAACTATTTATCTTAAAAATACCCATAATGCATATAATTATCAATCTATCTATCTATCTATCTATCTATCTATCTATCTATCTATCTATCTATCTATCTATCTATCCAACTATCTATCTATTATCTATCTATCCACCTTTTACCTATCTATCCCTCTATCATCTATCTATCTATCTATCTATCTATCTATCTATCTATCTAGTTTTGTTTTTTGGTTTTTCGAGACAGGGTTTCTCTGTGTAGCTTTGCGCCTTTCCTGGAACTCACTTGGTAGTCCAGGCTGGCCTTGAACTCACAGCGATCTGCCTGGCTCTGCCTCCCGAGTGCTGGGATTAAAGGTATCTATCTAGTTTTGCCGCTTTGCAGACACCGCTGTCCCCTTGTCGCCGCTTGCTGCAGCCATGGTCAACCCCACCGTGTTCTTCGACATCACGGCCGATGGCGAGCCCTTGGGCCGTGTCTCCTTCAAGTTATTTGCAGACAAAGTTCCAAAGACAGCAGAAAACTTCCGCGCCCTGAGCACTGGAGAGAAAGGATTTGGATATAAGGGTTCCTCCTTTCACAGGATTATTCCAGGATTTATGTGCCAGGGTGGTGACTTCACATGCCATAATGGCACTGGCGGCAGATCCATCTACGGAGAGAAATTTGAGGATGAGAACTTCGTCCTGAAGCATACAGGTCCTGGCATCTTGTCCATGGCAAATGCTGGGCCAAACACAAATGGTTCCCAGTTTTTCATCTGCATCACCAAGACTGAGTGGCTGAATGGCAAACACGTGGTCTTCGGGAAGGTGAAAGAAGGCATGAACATTGTGGAAGCCATGGAGCGCTTTGGGTCCAGGAACGGCAAGACCAGCAAGAAGATCATTTCCGATTGTGGACAACTCTAATTCTTTCGACTTGCGGGCTTCTTACCCACCAGACCATTCCTTGTGCAGAGTAACCAATGACTACTGCAATAGGTTGTTTATTTTGAAAGTCTCTTTGTGAGGGACAAGAATTACTAAAACCTAAGCAGCTGGGTACACCTGTGAGGTTTGTTTTTTTTCTTAATTAAACAATTTGAAGTGGCAATATACACTGCTATTAGAGCCTACTTCTTCAGAATTCCACCATAGACTGAAGACCAGCTGAGGCATCCAGCTTCATGGACTGCCCAGCTACAGGATTCTTGGGTGTGGTGTTGGTAGACAGCCATTTGTTGTACTAGTTGGTCTGTGAGCCAGTCTAATAAGTCTGCTTTCTATATATAGAAAGATTCATTCTGTAAGTTCTGTTCCTCTAGAGAACCCTAATACATCCTTAGGCTCATAAGGAATGGCACTATTAGGAAGCGTCCTTGCTGGAGTAGATATGGCCTTGTTGCTTGATTTGTGATTGGGTGTGGGTTTTGAGGTTTCAGATGCTCAAGTCAGGCCCAGTGTCACTTTCTTCTTCCTGCTGCCTACTGATCCGGATATATAACTCTCAGCTACCTCTCCAGCACCATGTCTGCCTGCACGCTGCCATGCTTCCCACCACGATGATAATGGACTAAACCTCTAAACTGTAAGCCAGCCCTGATTAAATGTTTTCCTTTATAAGAGTTGCTGGGTTCATAGTGTCTCTTCACAGCAATAGAAACCTTAACTAATACAGTGGTACACATAACTTGGCTCTCTAGTTGGACTCAATAAGAGGGATACCATACCTGGTACTGGAAACCTAGCTAACCATGATTCAGTACTAGTGAAATCATGGTTGTTGGAGGAGAATCTACACTCACTAATTTATCAAGTCAGCATGATCCCTTACAACAATCTATAAACATTTGTCCTTACACAGACAGATGAGTGTAATCTTTACTCTTCATCAAGGAAACTTCTCTTTGCAACAGATGGAGACTGTATATAAAACCACAACAGTCAAAATGTGGAGTTGTGGAGCCCAGTCCCAATGAATATTTCTGAAAAATACTCCCACACCCAAAACCTAGGGGAAAATAGAGGGGACTGAAAGACTGTAAGAGCCAGAGGATCAGGGAGTTTTCTGTGAGATCGTATCTCCTACTAACATCAGAAGCTCTACCCGTAAAGTCTCACCAACGTGACTGTCCGAATGTGAGCTGAACAAGGATGACATCAGTGAACATGCCCTGGACAGGGAAAAGTCTGTGAGACTCAACACTACACAAAGAACTATGGGCAACTGAGTAAAGTGAGGAGCAGGAGGTGGTCCTTCCCGGAGAAGAGCTCACCACCAGTGTCTCACAGTACATACATACAAGTAACATATGGTTTCAGCAAGTTATAGATATTTATATATAAATACATGTATGCACTCAATAACAATTAGTGGAAAAAGAGGCCATGGATTTGAAGAAGAGTATTTAGGATTCCATGGGAAGGTTTGGAGGGAGGAAAGGGAAGGGAGAACTGTTGTAATTAAAGCATAACCTCAAAACAAAAACGACAACAACAAAGCTGTTGTCAACTTCAGTTGTAGTCAAGAAAAGCCTAGTAGAGGTCTTCTGCTGGGCCCAATACCACAGTACCCAGGACTAGTAGAAGAAGGTGTGTGATGGGATTTTCAGAGCTGAGCTAAACAGACTGAAGTGGGGTGTAGCAAGGGATGGCAACAATCCTGGTGGTACTTTATGTAAATGAAGGGCTGTGTTTGCACCAATCACAGGCCTTCCCCTGGATCACTGGGTGGGGGTAGAGGTCCCCTCTGGCTAGGATTAAAATGGCTCCAGAGTCACGTAGAGTTCACACTGTAGCCGGAAGTTTCTTTGGTCCTGCCTGGCCCCTCGGTTGGGATGAACCTCTCCCACCCACGTCCCACAGGTGCTTAGTCCCAAATAAACACACAGAGGCTTTTATTATTTACAAATTGCATGGCCTATGGGTCAGACTTCTTGTTAGTTAGCTCTTACAACTTAACTCATTTCTATTAATCTGTATGTTGCCACGTGGCTGTGGCATTACCAGTCTGCTGGCATCTTGTTACTCCTTGGGTGGTGGGCTGGTGTCTCTCCCACTCTGCCCTTCTCTCTCTCTCTCTCTCTCTCTCTCTCTCTCTCTCTCTCTCTCTCTCTCCTTGGATTTCCCACCTGGCTGTAAGCTTTCTTGCCATAGGCCAAAACAGCTTTATTTATTACCCTGTGGAGCCATACATACTCACAGCAGACAGAAAGACATCCCACAGCAGTTCACCAAGGCTTGTCTTTTGTAGAATGATGCTTTCCGCAGCTGGGTACAGTCTGTCTATAGCATGTCTTCAGCCATACTTATGCCGTTCCTGTACAGTTGCTGGAGTGTCATGAGAGTGACTGCAAAGTATCCAAACAGCTGCCATGAATGCAGTTCTGTCAGTTGCGAGTAAAGGGGCTGCTTGAAGGTCAGTTTTTTTTTTTCTCCTTTTTTTCGAGACAGGGTTTCTCTGTATAGCTTTTTGCGCCTTTCCTGGAACTCACTTGGTAGCCCAGGCTGGCCTCAAACTCACAGAGATCCGCCTGCCTCTGCCTCCCGAGTGCTGGGATTAAAGGCATGTGCCACCACTGCCCGGCGAAGGTCAGTTTTTTATTTAACACCATTGCGGTACTAGAAAGGGTCTAGTTAACAGGGGTTAATTAGGGAATCAAATCATCCTAGCCCCAAGAACTTAGCTTATTTAAAGGACAAATGAGCATTGAAATACTTATCTTAACATTAGCAGAGATTTAAGTGTATGTGTGTGTTTAGATAGGGTCAAGGCTGTGCTGCAACTCTTTATGTAGAATGACCTTGAATTTCAGATTCTTCTTCCTCCACCTCTGGATTACTGGGATTACAGTTGCTCCACTACACCCTGTTTTTAATGCTGGAGGTCCAATTCAGGACCTCTTACATATTAGGCAAGCACTCATCAACTGCACTAGATCCCCAGCCTGAGTTAACAGTGTATAACAGGGTTCTAAAAGTACTTACCTCCTGCCCCAAAGTCTCAGGTACAGGATACCTCCTTATGAGCCATTGGTCAAGGTCCCAGAGTCACGTAAAACAATACAGGGTATTGCTTTTGTCTTGACTACTTTTGTAACTAGATGGCAAGACTCTGTTGCTGAAGATACCATTAACTGTGGTTGCAGGACACAAAGAAATCAATCTTGAACTGATACAGCGACCTATGTGGTCTTGGACCTGATAAAATTCTGACTTTAGCTTCAGTTTCTGTTCTTGACCTGACCATTAGTAGATTCTAGTGCCCCCTCATTGATGTTGGCTGATCTTCAATGCTCCAGATGGCAAGAACATAACCTGGATGTCTCTTGGGACAGGAGCAAAGTCTTTCTGATTTCTCTATCAGTGTATTGTTGGGATGGGGGTCCCCAGTGATGTCATGCTTCAATAGCTCTTTTTTTTTTTTGGTTTTTCGAGACAGAGTTTTTCTGTGTAGCTTTGCTCCTTTCACGGATCTCACTCTATAGACCAGGCTGGCCTCAAACTCACAAAGATCCACCTGGCTCTGCCTCCCAAGTGCTGGGATTAAAGGTGTGCGCCATCACAGCCCGGCTTTCAGTAGCTTTATATCACCTGGGAAGGCTATGATAGTTTGCCTGGATGTGGAGATTCAGCAGTATTGGGTCTTTGTTGATTAGGAAGTCTTTCAGTACCAGACTGTGCTGCTAAGACATCCAGCCTTGTGGGTTGAACAATTAGCCAGCTACAAGGTTCTCAGCCTCTTCAGTGTAGAAACAGTTTCAGTTGTCAGCTTAATAAAACCTAGAGTCAACTGTGGCAATTCAGTTGAGGAATTGCCAGATTAGATTAGTTGATGGGTATGTCTGTAAGGGCATTGTCATGACTGATGTGGGAGGACCCAGCTCACCTATCTGTAGGCAGATGGGTCTGAGCTGTATACCAAATAGATCTGAGAATAGATCTGAGAACACGCCAGAAAGCAAGGTTAGGGAAGCAGCTTTTTGCCATGGTTTCTGCTTGAGTTCCTGCCCTGACTTCCTTAGTGATGGGTTATGATCTGAAAGTGTAAGCCAAATAGACATTTTACCCGCCAACCCCCTCCCAGCTGCTTTTGGGCAGTGTTTCTTTTTGTTTGTTTGTTTAAATCACAGAATGACAGCCATTGTTGGACCTCCCAAAATGTATTGTATAAGCCAAGAAATCCCCTTTTAACATATATTCATTCTGTCAGTTATTGTGGTGGTTTGAATAAGAGTGGCCCCCATAGACTCATAGATTTGAATGCTTGGTCATCAGAAAGTGGCACTCTTTGAAATGATTAGGAGGCGTGGCCTTGTTGGAGGAAGTGCGTCACTGGGGGTGGGCTTTGACGTTTCAAGGGCCCAAGCCAGGCCCAGTGTCTCTCTCTTCTTGTTGCCTGTAGCTCTGAATGTAGAATTTTCAGTTACTTCTCTAGCCCCATGTCTGCCTGTGTGCCACTGTGCTTCCCGCCATGATGATAATGTACTAAACCTCTGAAGCTGTAAGCAAGCCTCAGTTAAATGCTTTCTTTTCAATAGAACTTTGACTAAGACAGTTCTGTTCCTGTAGATCTGTCCAATACAGATTCAGGTACTAGATGGGATTTTACAGAGACAGAATCGGGGTGGAGTTGTGATGATGAATGCTAATTGTCAATGTGACAGAGTCTAGAATCATCTGGGAGATGGGTCTCTGGGTTTGCCTGTGACAGATGATTTCGGTTGTGTCAAGTGAGGTGGGGAAGCCTGCACACTGTGTAGTGCAGCATCGTTCCCTGCCTGGGATCCTAGACTGAGGAAGGATGCCTTTAGTTCTTAGGCAATATGAATCCTTACACTAGGGCTGTCCAGATTCTGCACCGGAATCTATTGCTTCTCGAAAGGAAAAATTAGAATCATTATATCTAGGGTTAAAAACTAGAATGAAATAGTTGTTTTCACTGTATCTAGGGTAAACTACAGAAT